TTTTTTTTAGCTATTAATTAAAAAAAGCTTTTTAATTAAACAATTGAACTATTAATAAGGTAATAAATTATTAATAGACAAAGACTAAGTAGAAATGCCAACCTACAAAATCTGAGTTAACTAGAATAAATGCAATTAACATAAAAGACAATTGCTATTGTAATTAAATATTTAAGCAATATATCGATATATTTCTTTTATTTAAAAAAAAAAAGCATACAAAAATATTTATTTTATTAGTAAAAGATAAAAAAAAATATATTATTGATAGCTTTTGGCCTTTTAAAGTATGTTATATATATCAATTCCAAAATATAGTAATTAGAACAATTGGCAAATTTTGATTAGTACGTAGTCTTTATAAATACATTATATATAAATTATTATTATAATACTAAGCTAGACAAATTATGTATATAATTCTTGAGCATTAGCTGTATGTATTTTTATTTATAACTTAAAAATTCAAATTTGTAAGCAAATTTGTTTGTATAATGTATAAAGAGATAGCTTATATCAAAACACCAAACCTGCTATATAAGAAGCAATTAACAGATTAATACTGAATTATATAATTTTTATTAAACCATTTATGTTTTGTAGTAGCAATAACTTTGGTATAAAATTGAGAACTGATTAATAAGAAAAATATAAGCATAATAGCAAATTTACAGAATTGGGCCTTTTTTTAAGACCAAAATTTTATAATTTTACAAGTTAAACTATTTTATCTCTAAGATCTAATGGGTTAACACTTATCTATTGGGTTTATTTGTATAATCAGTTGTATGTCAATCATCCAACCATCATCTGACTAATTAATTTTTATAAACAAACATATTTTGGTAACTATTTTTAGGGTCCAATTTCAATTCTGTAAATCTGCCAATATATAAATAATGAATTGAGATACTGTTATAATTAGAATAGAAAATTAATATTAATCTAGTGGATAACAAGATATGTTTACTAGATCACAAAAATTAAAATATTTATATCTTATAATATATTGAGCTGATTTTAGCAGTATATCATCATAATTAGAAGTAGGGAGAGATTTACTTAGTAAAATTGAAGGACATTTTCAAACAATTTAATTCTAGTCAAATTTGCAGATTATTTGATCTATTGGAGATGAGTTTTAAACTAAGACCCTAGTGTAACCAATTTAAAAAATTTTACTGATCATGTGATAGGCTAACTAACTACTAAAATTAGATGTTTTATAGAATAGATGGGCAGACTCTACAAACTCTGCAACTCTGCTAAATATTTATTAATGATTACTAATCATTAGCAGAGTTTATTTTCTATATTGCCCATCTATTTTATAGAATATTTCTAAAATTAGTTTTTTTATTTTTTTTATTTTTTAGCTTTTTTTTAGTGCATTTTTTTTGCGTTATTTTTTGGTGCATCATTTTTTTAGCACTTCTTTCATCACTTTTTGGGTGCTTTTTTGTAGAGTTTTCTGTTATTCTTCATTGTTCTTTTAGTGGTTACTTGGTCGTTTTTTAATAGTTCTTTCTTTTTATTATTTTTTTTACGTTCTTTTTTTTTAGGTCAATGTTTTTCCTTTGTCACTTTTTGCTTTTTTTCTCACTTTTTCATTGTTCTTTTAGTGGTCTCTTCATTGTTCTTTTGGCAATTCTTTTTACTTAGAATCTGACATTGTAGTTTGGGTTAGGTTAGGGTAGGTAGCGCACCTACAAAAGTTGTTTCCTTTTGTAATTTTTACTGAGAATTCAATATTGTAGTTTGTAGTTGGGTTAAGGTTAGGGTTAGAGCAAAGTTTTTATTAGTAAAATTTCATAGAAAGTATAGAGAATGGTTTCCTATAAATTTTGTTATTTCTGTTTTTTTTCGTAAAAAAATTATTAAATTTTAATAAATAAAAAATGAGTTTAAATGTTTTATAATTTTCTTTTTTTTTTCATTTTTTTTAAAATATATATATATTTTAATGTTTAACATTAAAAAAAAAATTTCAATTGGTCAGCACGTAATTTGTGAAATTTTTTAAATTGGTGACGCTAGGGTGGTTGTTTTAAACTCATCCAATAGGTCAAATGATCTGCAAATTTGACCAGAATTAGATTATTTGAAAATGTAATGATTATCAATCGACTGTGGTAAAATCGCCACCCAAAAAAGTTTCGAAAATTGATAAAATTGTCAAGCACCAAAAGTCATTTAACTTGAACAAACAAAAAATTTACAGACTAAAAAATAATAACAATAAGTAATAAATTAATCATTTTATTATTTCAATAAACTCAATAAACGTAATATTTATTTAGCAATAAAGTATTATTATTGAAATTTTCTAGTATTTGGAATAATTCATTGCTTTTTAAAATAATTACAATCCCCCCCCCCCAATTTATGCAATAGCTCAAAATTTTTATTATCAATCCATTTGTTACTATTTGGATTAATCATGTTTTATTCAATAATTTGGATTCAGAATTATAATATATTTTGCTTAAATAAGTAATCAATTAGTTTTCTGGAAGAGCATTCAAAATAAAATCTATAAGATTTTCTGGTGTAATTGCATTTGCCTGATTAGTATTTATAATTTTATTTCTTTTTTTGTTTAACATTAGTGGAAATTTTGATTATGATAAACAATATGTATTTTAGAATATTGTGTTATTTGATTTTGTTTTAAAAGATTGCAATAATCGTTTTATATATTGAAGAATCGAAGAAAACAAAATCATTCTGAATTAATTAATACTTTATTAAATATTATTATCATAATCCTAATTATGATGAATTATGCTATATGATTTTCAAAACTTTTTTAGGTGGCGATTTTACCCCGATTATCATCAATCACGTGAAATCTTGCAATTACTTTATTTGTTTACCAGCACTAACAAATTGGCCAAGTTTATTTCAAAATCTCAGATTTTATCGAATTGGTCGAGAGATCATTCAGCAAATTTATATAAGGTGTCCCAAAATTTATGATAACAACTATAACATGAAACAAAATCATTTTTTAAAGAATCTGGCATCAGTCAGTTAAACCGGTCTGACCGGTAAGCAACGGTTACGGTTAATAACTGGTCATAACTTTTATAACTGTACCCGTACCCACCCCAACTACCCCAGTAGCACCGACAAATTTTCACTGATCGACATAAATTGACCAATTAGATTTTAAGATCAGATGTAATGTGAAAATCATGTGTTTTTTAAAAAATTTTAAAAAATAGCAAATAACTCAAAATTTTATATATGAAGCTACTTATTGTGCATTAGTAAAAAAAATTCTTTGCCAAATTTTGGTATTAAAAAAGCTCTGGTGCGATCATAAGATCAAAACCTAAGCCTAGTATAATATTTTATTATTTTAAAAGTTGTTGTTTTGATCAAATCTGATTGGTGTTGATCAGTAAAAATCTATTGGTGCTACTGGGGTAGTTTACCCACCCCTTCGATAGTGTTATGAGGCGGAGGGTCGTGTGGCTGCTTCTATCTTCCCCTAGATCGCCACCAACGTTTTCACCGGCACGTGATTATGTGTAACACACTGAAAAATTCTTTAAGTTCGTTTAGGTTAGGGTTAGGGTTAGGGTTCGGGTTAGGGTTAGAGAGAGCTATAAGTAAAATTGCTCAAGGAAAACTTTTTGTTAAAGCACTAAAGGTGGTTTCTTATACTACATTTTGAGTTATAAGCGATTTTTGACAAAGCGAACGTTTGTTTTGATTTTTCCTGATCGTGTAACGTTACACCTGATCTTGAAATGTGATTGGGTTAAAATCACATGCAGGTGAAAAATTTTGAAAATTTGGTGGCGATCTAGGGGTAGTTGGCTGCTCCTCTTTCGATCACGTGATATTCTATCACTTCGCATGACTTCTTATCAGCCTGATTTATTTTTAAGTTCATAAATCTATTCGATTTTTTTTTTTAATTAATTAAAATTGGATTGGCTTTTTTCTTTATTTTTTTGTTAGAATTTGCACTTGGGAGTTTGTGCTTCGAGTGGATTAACCATATATCGATATAATTACCGTTACAGAATTATATAATTTAAAGTAACTAGTAATTTTTGTTCAACTACTGTACAAAAAAAGAAATGTTTCATGAATCTGGTTGGATTCGATTCGTACTTCGGATCGAATCAAAATCTTTAGAAATATTCGCCAGATTCGATCCGTGCGGAACCATGCCGCTATTTCGAGTATTTACGGTAAATATATTAATGCAGCCAGATAATGTTGGTAATGCCGGCCAGATAATTTTATTTAGGTCATATTAAAAATCTTGCGCATGCCCATCTCTAGCTATAAGTCGGTAATTGGTTAACAGTAGGGTTTAAAGTTCCCTGAGAGGTCAAGGCTATAATAATAACTGACAGTTGACTAGTTATAACCGGTTAGCACTCGGATATTATTATTACCTTACCGAACCCATCATTATAATAAACTTCTATAGAAACAGTGAATAAAAATCATATTTTTCATAAATAATAGCTATCAATAAATCTTACAATCCGTAAACACTTGATTCTTTCTAAATAACTTTACACTTTGCGCGAAATCATAATAAAAAATCATTGACATTATTTAGGCATGTCTATAAAGAGGAGGTACATCACATGGCAATAACCAATCAACCTGCGAAAAATTTGAAGAAAAAGTAAATATATGAAAAAAAAATAGAACGGCAAATTTAATCTGCTTTGAGGTATTAATGAAAATTGTCAGGAAAGGTAATTTACAACCTTAAAAAAAACCTAACACTAGCATAACCCTAACATAAATTGGCCTTAATTTATACGAGTAACTACATTTTTACCGTTTTATTATTTGGGAAATAGAATCTTTTAGAATACTTAATTTCAAAATAATGTCTATGAACATCTCAAAATAACGTTCAAGCGCTAAAATAACGAGTTGAATTATATATAAAAAAAAAAAATAGTATACTACATATAATTAATATAATTATTACAAAAGTCGTATTAAAAGACTAAACCACATCAAATTGGAATATTTACACCAACAACAACAGTATTCTCAACAGGAAGACCCCAATTACCATAAAATTTTCTTGAATTAAAATATATAAACATATATATACCAACTAAAATTTTTATCCACCATGGAGAATCAGGTTTAGAACAAAGAGATTGTTGTCCTACAATATATGTAACTAAACCACTATCAAGATTAATATCATGAGTTAAATTTTTGTTGGTAGGATCAATGTTTCTAATTGATTCAATTAATTGTAAAAGAAATTCTTTTCCTTGAGAAACTTGTTCTGAATAACCATATCTAGCAGTTACTTGATAACAACCTTCATAATTTTTAATTTTTTTCACTTCTAATCGATTATCATCACCAACTTTTGAATCTGCTACAGTTTTAATATTGATAAAAACGACATTTTGAGGCATGATTGGAAAGTGTTTTACAAACTGTGTGAAAGAAAGTGGAATCTTGGTGCCAATATCACTATAGAATAAGCCAATACCCGGTGAGCGCATCAGATGAGTTTCGGTATCTAATAAAAGAAGTTGTAACAGTGTTATCATTTTGTAAAAATATTTAAATTGAGGTATTAAAAACATTAATAACATTAATAATTATCATCTTACCAATGAAAAGATTCTCATCACCATTTCCCAAAATAATCTCATTACCGTTTTCCAAAATAATCTCATGTGATGAATTTTCCATAACACTATAATCAGTAGGACCAATGTTTTTCTCTTTAAAAATTTTATTAAGATCAGGAGTTTGTAAACGTTCGTGATGTATCATACGAACAGTACCCCATCTCCATATACCCATCATTATGGTAAGAAATATAGCGATACTCATTGTAAACCAACCACCTGAAGCGATTTTTCGTAAGGTTGCACCCAAAAATGAAGCATCGATAGTGAAAAAAATACAAAAGAATATAATTGAAATAATAATAGGAAGACGCCAAACAATGTAAATTACGATTGTTATGAGAATTGTTGTAATAGCCATCACAGATGCAACGGCTACACCATAAGCAACCACCCTAAAACAAATTCATAAATGAATGAATTAATAAATCAATTAATTAAGAGGTATAATAATAATAATAATAATAATAATAATAATAATAATAATAAATATAAATACAAATTTTTTGAATGTTGGAAGCCGATACAAACAATGACGACTAAAACCATTAAGATATAATTGACCTAATAAAATAATTAGCATAAAAACATTTTAATTATGTGAAATATTAATTAAGTAAATTTTTAATTAATTACCTCTGGAATATAAATTTGGCCTTCAACTTTGTCAGATGTATGAATAACCTTTTGATAAAATGAAAAGACATTTTAAATAAAAATAATGAGAGTCATAAATTCGTACTAAATAATAATAATTAAGATTACCTTAACTTTAGGAAAGCAATCTAATTGCATTGATTGATAAATTAAAGAGAAAGTAGCCGAGATCATGGCTTGAGATGAAATTATAGTAGCCAACACGGCTAAAATAAATACAATCCAATAAATACCAGGTTCAGAAGGGGTAGTTAACCAAAAAGTATTGGCAACTAAAGTGGGATCTAAGACTAAACGTGCAGCTTGGCCTGTATGCACTAAAATCAAAGGAATATAAACAAAAAATGGAAAAGAAATTTGAATAGCCCCTCTAGTAAAATGACCTAAGTCTGCAAACAATGCTTCAACGCTTTTGGTAATAAAAAAAAAAGATAGAATTAGATTTTACGTACGTGGTATATACTTACAAGTTTATAAAACGAAAATTTAATTTTACCCAGTGACAGCCAAGAAAACTCCACCAAGATCAGTAAACTTTAAAAATAGAAAAATAATAACAGATAACGATAGTTAGCTTCTTTTTGATAAACTAGTTGGCAATATTAAAATAGACCTAATAGATGTTTACCGCAGCATCTTGTCTTCTAACAAAATAATTAACAGCATAATAAGGATTGTAAGCTTTAAAAATTTCGGGAAACATAGAAATGTTCCAAATGCCAATAGAAGTGATAGCAATAAACCACAAAGAAATAATGGGAGAAAACAAATTTCCAACTTTTCCCGTTCCAAATTGTTGTGATAGAAATAATACAATGAGAATAACGCTTTGTGTTTAAAAGAGAAAGAGATTTATTTACTAATAGAATATTTATCAATAAAACAACTTAATACGTGTATAAATAAATACCAGCTGAGAGGAACAATGGCGGGTGCTAAACTTGGAGCAGGGACGGCTATACCCTCAACGGCGGAAATTACGGATATGGGAGGAGTAAGAAGGCCATCACTCATTACTAAAGAAGAGCCAAAGAGAACCAAACCAAATAATAGATTTTGTACAACAATATTACGCTTAATAATGTTGGGACCTTCTTGAGGATCCCTGCCCTCATTTTTTGTAATGGTCGAATCGTCAATAGAATTCTCATTTCCGCGTACAGATATGCCAGAATGCCTAAAAAAAAAAAAATTTAAAGGCATCGCGTAAATATTTAGTGCTACGTGATTTTATGTAATATATGTATATAACAACTTACCGACATAATAATGAATATAAAGCAAAAGTGCCACCCTCACCATTATCATCCGCTCGGAGCACTATAAAAATATACTTTATCATAACTACGATCGTCTAAAAAAAATGATTTTCAACATCAATCAACTTTTTCTTAAAGAGAAAAAAAGTTCTTAATTAAAAGACATACTAATGACCAAACGATCAAGGATAAAGCACCTAGTCACACACATAATAAAAATTAATCAAGAATTTATTTCAGGAATTAATTAGTTAAAGTAACGTACCATAAACATCTCGAGAGTCAGTAGGCGGATCCGTGAAGATTCCAGTGAATACTATAATTTACGTAAGATAAACGATAAACTAAAACAGTTCGGTGCAGTTGTTAAAGGAGAGATAAAACTTACATACAAATTAAGGGCGAAGTACCAATATCTCCATATATAATACCTAAATTTTTTCGTGCAAGAAAAGTAAGAAACAAATATAATATAATTAATCGACAAGGAATTATAATGAATTATTGTTATGGGTTTTAAATAAATACCTATCGACTTGACAGCTAAGTTTAAGGTAAGTAAAGCGGAATTTCCCTGAAAATGTAGAGTTTTATTAAATTAATAAATGAAATAAATTCGTCTAAGTAAAGCTTACTTTTTTTCCGGATTCTAAATCAATCATTTTTTTTTTATAAACGAGGTTGATAAAAAAAAAAATTCTATGCATTATATAGAATTCACAATCAATGACATAATCCACATAAGGATACATAAATTCGTTTGTTTTTTTACTTGTTTTTTTTTTTAGCAAATCCGTGTTACAAACAATTTGATATTAAAAAATATCAGATATCGATATAGCATACTTGAATAAAGGGTACGTATGTACATACATACAGTATTTGTTTTTCCGGCATTTCATATGATCGTGAGATTTTTTGCCTTAATACTTTTGTCACGAGACTACTCAATCATTCGTCATATAATTATTGTTATGAAAAATAATAGACGTATGAACAAAAATATCCAATGTACCATATAAGATTTGGTGTGATTATTAAGTTTTTGAAAGTGTTACTTCGTAAAATTTCACATAAGTTACTTATAAATCGCTCATCAGTTTCTATATAGTTAATTAGTTTTGCCCATAAAAGAAATTTTCTTATCGTCTGCTCAATGTTGCATACAATCCCAACGAAGCTAACCTATCATTATTCGGCTATCTTTGGGATTTTAACAATTCTTCTAGTGCTAAAAATTTATTGAGATGATTTGCTAAAAATAGAGTAGATAAAGAAATACATAAAAATTCAGTTTAGTATTTTTTCACTCAAAGTTCTGAAAAATTTTAACCTGTTATAAATAATAAAAAAAAAGAAAAAGCAGAAATGGCTAAATATTACTAAATTTTAACAATGATATCTTAATACGCATCCAAATAACTTGATGAAAATATTCTAAATCAATTCTACAACGTTATTGCTGTATTGTTCAAAGCTTCCATGATTTTCTTTTTTTAAAATAGCCAGTTAACGTTAAAATCTTTTTTATATTTTAGACAAAGACACGCCGATAATGTCTATCCTAATTCAATTAAAAGTTTTACCAATTCGTACAATTGATTCATGACTATATTTGTATGCAGATAACGTGACCCGGAAATTTCCTGTAAAAATGTATGCGGATAGTATTAGCCGGAAGCACGTGGTGGTAAACTCTGTGGCGCATTGTCGAATTAACGATTAAATGAATTTATGATGATCACATCGGAAATAAATAAGGGCATCGGGAGTATAAGCAATATAAGGCATATAAGAGGGATGATAAATATAATGGTAATAGTGATTATAATAAAAAAGATTCACAAAAGAAATATGCACCGAATTTCTTTTATATTTATGAATGGTTAAACCACTTTTCGATTGGGTTAAACTAATACTGTAAAAATAGCAAAATTTGCTTATCAAAATTATCGAAAAATGGATTAACCACTCGTGAACTATTATCGTCACACGTTGAATGATCGTTCGCCGATACTTCAAGAATGGTTAATCTATTTTCGATAATTTTGGACTTAAATATTAAACCAGGATCATCGAAAATCCGATCAACATTCCTGAAACATCAGCATTATATTAATAAATCAATTGTTTATTTTCACTGATTCAGACTATAATTCATTTAATACCTATTTCGAGAACGGTTGATCCGTTTTCGATCATCCGAGTTTATTTTATCCTACAGTTCTTAGTATTACAGTACAATCATCGAAATTGGATCGGTCATCTCCAGTTATAAAAGGTAGAATGTAAAAAGTTGTTTCCGGATCTTTTTTGCGACCACTGTAGTTAGAAAAGGTATAAATAGTTTTAGCGACTTATAAATGAAATGCCATCGTCACCCTGAATATAGCAGATATTGTACCTTTTCTTGGTATCTGTCAGGTATGACGTATACACTTACGGAAAGAATTTCATATTACTTCCGCAGATTTTTATATTAAAATTAATCACATGATTTTAATAAAATTTACGGAAATAATATAAAAATTTTTCCGTCAGTGTTTACATAGTACCTGCCGGATAATATCTTATATGTGTTAACAACAAATCTCTAAGTATACAGCGTTAAGATTAGGGATGGGCAAATCGAATCTGCCGCGCAGCATGCACAGCCTACACATGAACCTACCCCTAGTTAAGAATTTTGCTAAATTCCATCTACGTTGTTCCAACCATCCCAAAAGTAGAGAAAATTGTTGAAGTTACGTTGATTAGCATAGCGGGCTTTAAATCTGATTGGATGATCGCCCGGAATGTTTCACAATATGGTTTCATATTAGCGTAACGTTTCTCAGTCACAAAAATGGAACCGCAGCCACGAGCACAAAACTGCAGGGGTTGTAGTATAG